CTTTTTTTTGTTTTTAAATTATTGATCCTGAACTGAGCTAAGTGAGAGTAACAAAGAATGGCTTCTTACTCCTACTTATTAACCTATTAAAGACTTTGGGGTAGTAGAAATGGAAACTTTTGTCAGTTTTTGGTCACTGAGAGCATCCTCTTGTTTTTTTTGGTATGTCAGAAATAATTATAGGACTTTTTGAAGGCATCTGCTAGTAATGAAAAAATAGAGTTTTGTTGAAGTTACCTAAAAACTAAACTTCTGTGAATATTTTTCTAGGCTTTGTTTTGAACATAATTTTTCATTTTCCTCAAAATACCAACAGATGACCTTGACTTTCCAGAATTGGAAGATACTTTTCCCAATTTGCACGGTCACCTGTTTAAACCATTAGAACCACATCCAGACTTTGATACGTCTTCATCTTCTGGGATTCAAGACAGCAGAGCCTTTTACCAGGTAAAGTAGATGGTTCACTGCTGTTTATGTCTAAGAGTAGCTGTCTTTTAGAACAGAACGTTTCTTAACTTTGGGTGCCAATTAGAATCATGTGGAAGCTTTTAAAAATCTCAAGGCGCAGACTCTGCCAAAATCTCTGGATATGCTCGAAATAGCAGAATTTATTTTTAAGATAGAGCCCCAACCTGCCAATAACTCACATAACACTTGAGAACATTGCTACTGTTTTTTTATTTTAGGGGATTCAGCCTTAAAATAGTTCAGCTAAATACAATTTTGCAACTTCAAGTCTCTTCCTACATAAAGGAGCTAAGATTCAAACCTAGGTCTTGTTCCCACAGCCTGACATCCTAGTCTGTTCCACACAGCTCTTATCAGAAAATGATCTCATTACATTCTAAACTCTTAACCTAGTTCATTTCCAATTTGTTTTCTAAATGATCTTTTTTAAAGTATTGACTGAGATGGAAGAATTGGATTTGAATAAGTGAGTGTAATAAAGTGGTAATTAAGGGTGATATCAAGGAAATAATGATTATGATTCCACTGATAATATTTCAGCTTTCCCCGTTTTCTGTCAGAGCCCAGATTCTTCATGTGAAAATCACTGTGCTCCAATGCTATCCAAAAGTACGGCTTCTTTCACATCACTGCAAACCAGTCTTTCTTCACTTTACACCGGATTGACCCAGCCACTTGACCCTCACTTCACTGATGCTATAGCTCTGAGTTTTGCTACAGAAAATTTTGAGGGTATGTATGATTGTTAGTATTGGGTTTTACTCCATTTTTTTCTGCCATGGTCAATTACATCCATTTTCCTTGGATTATCTTCACTCCCATCCTCAGTGTTACAAGTTGTGTGTGTGTAAATAGCGCAGTTTGCATTTTTACAGGACTGGGCTTCATAAAGACAAAAGTGCTGCTTCTTGCTCCATCTCCCTACTTCAACCCTCACAGTTAAGTTTTAAGTATCCTCCTGAAACTTTTTGTACAAATTTATCATACACATACATATCTATGAAATACACATGCAGATTTGTCTGTCCTTGTGTTGTTAAAATCAATATTCTTCTCATTGTGTATGTGTCCTTATGTTTAATAGCCATGTTTTCTTTAGTAAATAACAGGACAAAATCCATGGTGTGAGCATTAGTTATCACTGACCATCCTTAAGCTTTCTATTCATGTTTACATATATCAGCTTCCACACTTAAAATTGTAGGAAGTAACCTTATATTATTTGCAATTTACTCAAATTATTGGAGACTGTGTCCGTATTCAAGTTTTACAACATACAACAGTGATTAAACTGATTTATTACAGCATCTGAACAATCTTTTCAACAACTTCTGCCAGAATTTTCTTCACAGGAGAGCCAGCATACTGATCTACCAAGTATTTTTAGCATTGAAGCAAGAGATCCTTTCCAAGGCATGGAAAATCACAACCACTCTGAACAGATTGAAATATCACAAAATAAAAAAATTGCTCATTTCCAGCTCTCCATAGGAAATTTGCAAAGTTCAGTCTTCAGTTCATCTGATGAGGCTGATGTATTTCATCCAGTAAATCTACAGTATAGCACTCCATGTGGTTCTGCCTCTAGTGAGATCTCAATAAAAGACCAACTGGAAGGCAAAAAAAGACTGGGCTTTGAAGAATTAACGGAAAGTGGGATCGATGCATTACAACATCAGGGATTCAATGAAGATTATAAAAATGAATCCTGTGGCATTTCAAATATAAATCCACATGCTGAAGAAATTGACTCCCAATTATGTGTAAGAACAGTGGAATGTTCTCAGAATGAAAATTCTGAGGATTCAGCTAAAGCAGAAACTCCAAAAATCACAGGAAACCTATCTCAACTAGCACAATCAGAGGTCTTTTTAAATTCTGGATCACTTTCGTTACAGAGTCATATTCCAGTCTGGGTAAGTGAAAATCTGTGTCGCATAAACAGCATTAAAATTCATTTTCAGTAAATAATTTTGAAACAAACTTGAAGCAACAAAGCTACTCAACATTTCATTAGACATCTCCAACAATGAAATAATCAAGCTCCAAATTTTAAGCTGACCTTTGAATTCTATGGAAGACCTTTCCTCCCAATTCTGATTTCCGTGCTCCAGCTTCCCTGCGCAATGGTGGCTCAGCCAGTGCTTCAGCACATTGTGTTGAACCTCACTGCACTCATCTGCTTGGCTTCAACTTACTGAGTAAGGTTTTTACCTTTTAGTATTGTTTGTCCTTCTAAGGCGAACATATGAGACTGAAAATAAAGGTAACATGTAGGCCCCAGATGTGTTTGGCTGCTTTGGGGTTTTGTAAATGTTTAAATTGTTTTTTTTAGACATTTCCCTTAAATTGTCATCTGGCAGCAGTGGCCGTTATTTGGCTGCACCAGAGAGCTGCTGCTCCCCTTGGACATGACACTCCAGGTGCTGCTGCAGCCCTCTGAAATATTTGCATTTCTAACCTTTGCAGAAGCTATTTTTAGACAGTTACCCCATCACTCATCTATTCCCCAAAGTCTTCTCCAGTCTTTCAAAAGGTGTTTGGGGAGGGGGAGGCACCACCTTAGTCTTTACCAACCCTTGCTGTTCTACAGTGTTTTAAGACTGTTATTCTTGGATATAATTTCCTTTTTAATTTTACTGCACAGGAGACAGAATCTGGCCATGGTATAATGGAAGAACCAGAACTTACATTAGTAAGCGCCAGTGATATCAGTATAGCTGAAACTGATTTTGCTAACTTAACCCTAGAAGAAAAGGGACAGTATGAACCAAGTAACTGTATTCAGGTAAGTTTTTCAGTTCTTTCATATAAATACACCTCATTTACAGAGCTAATTTCTTTCCCTGTATGATGCAAATGAAGTGAGCTATACCAAACTGAAAGGTTTAGTTCTGCGGTTGCATGTTTACTTTTTTCCACTAGGGAAAAACTGTTCTTGTCTGGCCCACAAGGCAGTAATTGAAGGGAATTCTGAATTTAATTCTAATTTAATCTAGGTTAAGAGGTGAATTCATTCACTTTAAGAATCAGACTTTCTATTGTGTATGTTTGCCTTTAATCCCCACAACCCAAATCTGTAGGCAAGTCCCAAGTAATATTATTTGTACACTGTACTATGCAGCACTATAGCAGAACTATTTTTCTTGTGCCTGATGCCAAATTAGAAGGGAATTCACCTAAGACTTCCAAAATATTTCAAACTCCACACAACCACCTGTAATTGTTTCTAAAAAAGTAGTGGACTAATTACCAGACTTGACGGGAACCAGATGAGGAAGACTTCAGAAGAGGAAAGTAGACTGGGTGAGGATTAGTAATTAGTCTGTTACTTCAACTGAGGATTGAGAGGAGCCATCAGCCATCCAAACGCCCACCTCACCCAAATACCTTTGTCCACCTGAGGGAACCAGGGTTTGGTTAGATGAGAACCTTTGCTTTCAGTCTGTACAATAAGGTGAAAAGTGGTAAATTCTTTCTTACAACTAGGTGAGTGAATTTCTACCTCTTGCATCAGAAACAGAAACCTCAGACTGTCCAGGTGTACCAGAACATTCTATGGAGAAGACCGTGTCTGCAGGTATGCTTGAGCACCTTGAATGGTTAGTGAATCCAGGGGCCAGTGAAAATCCTTGGCCTTCCTATTTCTGGCAGAGGGATGGGGGAACAAAATCTTATTGCTGGCATAAAATAAAAAAGTATAATTGGATGGAAATAGCTTCACTGTTTCTTTTTACAGAAACCCTTCCAAAGCCTACAGCTATCCCAGAGAGCTTACAAGAAGCATTTGTAAAGAGAAAAAAAAAGTTTATTGAGAGATCCTCCCAGAGACAAGAAGAAATAAAGAAGAAAACTCGTATCTCTGAAAAGTCTCCAATCAAAATAGTTAAGGAGAAACTTTGCATAGGTATGTTCTTCACATTTGTATCATCAGTTTCCACAAAGAGAATTGGGGACTATATATTTATCAAGTCTCCTGTTCAGGTTCACCTGTGAGTTGCCTAAAGGTTATGAATAAAGTTAGGGTGCCACTTCCTGAAGACAGACAGACTGCGCAAGCCTTCACGCAACACAGGGCTCTAAGGTACCATGTATGCACGTGTGTGTCTATGTCCACAGTTCTTAAGTCACAGCTTTAATTCCATATATATTTCTTACATTGTACAGAGTATACAATGAATCAGTTGAAAAACAGCAAAAGGAAGAGAACGCTAAAAAGCATGATGTGGGTGCCCAAAGTAGAGCAAGCGGAAAAGAATTCCGTAAGGTGAGCAGGACCTCTAGTTTCATGTGTAAGCTACACACCATTTAACTGGAACTTCTAAGTTCTTCTTCTATTCCCTCCACAGAAAACACTAGAGAAACTTCGAGCCAAATATACACAGTGACTTTCTATGAAAACTGTAGTTGTTTTTATTATGTAACATAGGCCACATAAGTCAATAAATTTTTTAAGAACTTAATATGGTATGGTTCCTTCCACTGCCAATTGCCTTTGCTTCTCCAAAGTGAGGCATGATCTTCAATAAAAATTGTCCTAAAGAGAGTAGGCATGGGTTAGACTTTACTCATGAGTGGCTAAATCTTGTATCTCCTCAGGAAAACAGCACTTACATTAAGTGGCTATTTACATACATCCTATGGAGAACGTCACTTTTTGGTCACAGCGTTAAGAGCTCTTGGTTATGGTCCCACAAGCCCTCTTTGAAATGACCCAGTAATTATCTTTTCCTAGTGTGTACATACCTTTTAAGATCAACTTTTATTCAATCCAGTTATATAGTCAGTCCTATATATAACAGGAATATAAAATTAAGGATTAAAGTTCCATTTAACTTCTGAAGCTAGCTCTGTTTTTGCTCATTAAAAGTTGCCTAGTTACTAGTAAACCCAGAAATATTTCAACCAGGCAAGGAACAGCTGCAAGATGCTAGAGATAGAGACATGCCCTGGTTCACTGTAACAGCCACTAGCCATGTAATGCATCAGTGACGATTTAAAATACGCCTGTTGTATGAACCTCAGTGATTACCAATGGCTACTACAAAGTCAAATATAGCTTGTTGTATTTACATTGACAGTGCTCACCCAGGTTAACGGAAATGAATCACAGAAGGGTTAATAACATGTTCCCAATAGGCTGAATGCTAACAAGGTAGCAGAAAAGAAAACCTAGTGGGAATTTTTTTTTATGGTCATGTCCACAGCAAATGAGAAACTGCATTCTAAAAGCCTTGGTAATGACCATTATACCCTAACAAATGCTTCAGAGATGCTAAGATAAATGACTTGCCAACTTTTTTACCTCAGCTTCTTTGCTCTCCATGAATATGGACATACTTCACAAACTCCCCACCTATGGAAAAAGATTTCAAATTTATACTGGATTTAGTTTTTCAAAATGAGGCTTATTAATTCCTAAATATCCTGAAACTGTTCCCAAACTGTTACATTGATAATTCAGTGTAACAGTTAGAATTTTCATCTTTTCAATCCAGTTCATTTAAATTAAATGTTGGGAACACATAAATTTAAAATTAAGGTTAAGTGGATCCATTTCCGATCATACTTTAACTTATACGAAATGCCCTGATAATATCAATTTCGTATTTGGAAACATGCCACATTTTAGGTAACTTTTACCTTGAAGCTTTAGTGTTTTAATGTACAGCATATATTTAATACATAGCTGGATGTTCAGAAAGGCTGCTTTTCATTCAGCCCATTCAGAGCAGTTGAACATTTTGCCCATCATCATAACATCATACTCACTGACAGATTAACACATGGTGGACTGTTTAACATCTTTTCCACTATCTCTTAAGGAGTGATAATCACCACTGACTGCCTATCAGATTTAGATTAATGGCAAGGACATTAATGCTTAAGTTTTAGAAAGGAAAAGTTCTGCTATAAAATAGGGAGTAAAAATCTTACCTGTAATCTGAGTTCCAGTTCTTCAAGCAATTTTCTTTGGGCCCTAGAAGTTAAATTGTAGGAAGTAAATTGCTATTTTGGCTAATGACCCATAATATATAGATATTCTCTAGTCATCTCTATCAGTCCTGTTACAGCCAGTTTTTTACTCATGAGCCTAGCAAAAGAGTGTTACAGGTCTCATTGTCACCACTGCAATAAAACCACTGTGATGGAAGCATGACCTGTGTCTCAATGTAGCCACATTAACAATTTCTGGACACCAAGAACAACAATGCCCATGTTCATCTAAAATGAGGCTTTATTAAAAGAGTTCCTCTCAGGCATGCATTATTATATATATGTATCACACACACTATGAAAAAGGCTTCTGCATCTGTATAGAAGTTTTGCTAACCCACGCTATCAATAAAGGAAAGCAGCTACTAGAAGCAAAAGAAATACAAGCCTTACACATTTAGGGTCAGAGGAGATGGATCTGCCTGGTTCTCAATTTCAGATACCCTAGAAAAAGGCAATCATTAGTTCTTACTGAAGATCATGTTGAACTGAACAGTGTAAGAATACTGTATCAATAAAAATACCAGGTTTTACATGCACAAAGCCAAGAAAACCAACGATGCCAGATACTGAATTTATTTGGCACTGTCCTTTGAACACCCAGCAGGAATAAACTGCTGTATGCAGATACCACACAGTGCAGTCATAACTGAATGTAAACCCTTCCACTTCAAATCTACAATGCTGAGAAGTAAATTTTCACAAAACTCAAGAAATTTAAGGTCCTGTAACAAGTAATTTCACCTTTATTCCTACATTAACTGCATTTTAAACTATAAACCTAGATATCATTATCCTGTCTACAAAACTCACATTATGGAGCTATTACATCACTGGACGACAATGCATTATACAGAAAGATCATAGTTGCTCAAACTGCTCTTTTTTTTAGGTGAGATTACTTAAAACTCAATAACCTTATTTTCACATGTCTAAGTATACATTATGAGGATGAACTATATGGAACTGTCAGTTTATAAAATGTGAAAAAGGAAGGCATTTTCATATGTTGGCCCTAGACATGGAATCTGTTATTTTTCCAATTCCGTATACAAATGCAATTATGGCAAATATTTTCTGCCATGACCTTGATAATTCCACTGATGCCTTAATAATGCCTAGTCACCACAGCAATGGAATGCTGTACACTAATGAGCATTTTTCAGAACTTTTTATCCTGAACAACTTTCAGTAGAAATTAAGTACTCCACTTACCTCTAACCCTGAGTTAAGTTCAAATCATATTCATTCCTACAAATAAAATATTGAACAAATTACTTTAGTGTGCAATTAAACTAAAACCTAAATAATATGCTTAACACCAAAATTGATGTTCTTTTAAAGGTATACTCAGCTCTGTCAGAATTAAGTTTTAGTTCATTTCTGTATCATTCAGCAGTTGAACAGTTAAATTCATCATCTGACACTGCAAAGTACCCCCTCCCCAAGATTCCACTATCACCAATTATAACTTACCTAAGTTGTCATACCCTAAGAACAGATCATAGGGATATGCAAATACCTAAGATTAAAAAACAATTCTGTATTAGTTCTTTCATAGGTGCAAGAGACCTGTCTTGTAGTTCTTTCCCACAGAGCTAACACACAGTTCTGTGAATAAAGGAAACCACATATATACTCTATGAGGCGTTTCCAACGATGTAGGTCTACAGAAAAAGCCCCATCGGGATAGACCTCAAGCATTGTTTGTACCTTAAAAAAATACAGAAATGCCACAGGATTCAAGACTGCAAGATTATTTAAAGTCATCTGACTTCAAAATTATCTTAACAAAGCTCCCATTTGAAAGAAATCAGCCCATAAATTACACGGATTTTAAGCTGCTACTTAGCAAAGACAGTATATATAAATACAGGAAAAACATGTAAAGTACCAAGTATTTACTACAGATGAGCAAAGGAATAATGGCTTCCACATAGTTAAGTCTTCATTTTATCTCAACCTCCACTACTACAATCTGTTTTGCCTATGAATATGCAGATAGTTTAACTGAATTTCTGCCACAGAATTTAAAATACAAGTAGTATTTTTTTCCCATTCTATAAAAAGTACAGAAAAATACTAATGTGGCTATGTATGTTCTTACCATGGGGAAATCATGGGAAAACAAATTGAGTGCTTCTTAAATAAAGCTTGTATTATTTATATTTATAAAAATTAGTGTCTTATTTAGTCATTTCTAACACTGCAGTATTAAATCTTTACCTCACTTTATGTGCTAATAATGTTGTGAATGCCTCAGGTGGGAATATCCAAGATTGATTATTACTGTACAATAACTTAATAGTTTTTAGAACCCTTTCCTTGCTGACACTTGGTCACTAGAAAATGTGTTAATCCCAAGATTTATTTTTTGAAGTCATATTATGAACAGGAATTAAGTCTGCAAAAATGTCTTTAAATTAAGACATGGTACTATAACACTTCATCTTACCTAAAAACTCACATAAAGCTTAAGACATACCTTTAAGTCCAGACACTGTCCTCTCATTAGGAGCCTAAGAGAGAAGCCATTTTTGTTTCATGTCAACATTAGAACACTGAACTGATAGAGCTAAGATTTACCCTACACATCCTATGCTTTTAAATTATCAATAGCAGCCCCCCATCACTACTTTGGTCATTAGGTATCATGTTCCTTCTTATCTGTATCAAAACTCACACTGAAAAATGAGTTTTGGGTTGCAAAAGAGGATTTTTTTTTCTGCACTTGTCTGTAAGTCTTTGTCCACAAACAAACAAAAACACACACAAGTGCTATTGTAAAATGTAGTATATGAAGTGGCATAATCAGCAATATACAGTGATGATGAAAATGCTAATTGGGAGTAGGAAGGGAAAATTAACTTCTAATTACAGTATTAAGCATTTGACACTGAAGGTAACTTTAGTCTGAATAAAACTGGGATAATAGGGAAACTTCAGGGACATGCCTGGCTGCCAATCATCAGTGATTATTGTCAACAAATCTTTTCAGGATTATGGCTGTATTTCTGTGATTCAGTGCTCAAGTGACATCTTTGAAGCTCTTACTCTTGAAGTATAGGCAAAAATAGCAGGACATTCTGTTTATTTGTCCATTTTTTTTACATACATCAATTTCAGTATTTTAAAATATTTTTTTTCTAGTAATTACTTTAGGAATTTCACAAATTTGTCCAGAGGTTCTTTTTCTCCTTAGGTTCTTTTTTATCACTAGGCTGGCATACACATTCACCATCTTTTACTTTTTATGAAAAGTTGCCATTTCTCTTTCCTTTACCTTGACATTCACATTCCTATTTTCTTTTCAGGCCATTCTGTCCTCTGTCCAGTGTTTTTGGACTTCAATGCTTTCTTTTTAGACAAAGCAGCTTCTTCAATATAATGCTCTTGGTCTAAATATACATTCACCTTCTTTGGTAATTCAGACTTTACTATGAAATAATTATTCTCCTGCATGAAAAATATCAGTATTAAGCAACTTTAGTAATTACACATAACTGAATTCTAGGTTACTTAAAAATAACCCGAGGACTACATCTAGAGATTAAAAACCTGTATCAACTTATTTTCTCATTAGATTATCTTTGTAGCAATAACCACATATCACGTTAAAACTTACAATAGAATTTTTGTTCTCATCAACAATCCAAAAATTCTTCTTGCATTTCTGCAACACATGCCTTGAGCCTTTCAAAAATTCATTATAGAGTCTAAGACAAAAACTAATGGATAGATTCTTCCTGTACCAAAAGCTACCCTACCAAAATGATATAGGATTAAAATATCACTTACCACCAATTTGATGTCACATTCATCAGCATGTTCAAGATCTGCTGCAACCTCGTCTGCTCTATAATATTGAAATGTTGTCACTCACATGACACAATCTTCTATAACGCAATTAAACTATCATAACACAACGTAAACAGCAATTTTTTTGCCATGTGTTAACACCCCAAAATGGATGTCTGAGCCATATTCAAAGCTGAAATATAATAAAGCAAATGGCCTATTGTATCTATGCTCACATCACTACTGAATTGTATAAATGGATAGCATAAAATGAATTAACATTAAAATTTAAAAGCAGACTCAGTTTGATAATTTGACCGAAATTATTTCATATGATTAAGCTTACTCGGACTCTTCAATAGGAGAGAGGGGCCCATCATCATCCAGGTATTTGTATCTACGACTATCCAAGTCGTCTTTTTCTAAATCTTCACTGACATTCATTTGCTTCAAGGATTCCTTGAGGTGGTCCTCATACTTCAATTTTTCAAGGTAGCTGAAAAATCCTCTTGCCACTGCTTGCTATAGAAAAACACCGTGTTAAGTCACAGCCTTAAAAAACTGAAAATCCTCTTGCCAGTGCTTACTATATAAAAATACCATATTAAGTCATAGCCTAAGGAAGTTTTCTTCTGACTTAGCAATTGCCTGTACTACAAAATGGCAACAATCCCCTTACCAAGAACTTGTAAATATTGATTCCACTACTCTGCCATAATACTGGTTGTAAAAAGAATTCACTCTTATACCTAGAAAATTATCAAACTTCTCCAAGTTGCTACCAAGAAAAACTAGCACCAGTCTTAGTTTGTGAATCACTAGAGACATTTCTAAATGCAAAGAGAAACAAATTTCTGACGATTATAATCACCTTAAAATATAAAGTGTTGTAAATATTAATCCTTCCAGATAAACTTACTAATTCTAGAGCAAGGGGTTATAAATTATGCAGTCATTTAACTCAAATATTTGAGTCTACTGCTAAGTATTAGGGCATTTGTTAGGCGACTCTGTTCCATACCATATATTGAAGATTTGTGAAGAAAATGAAATCTAAAGCCACTGAACATGAAAGGAAGGTGTCTGACTTAGGTTCCTATAAAATGTCGTCATTTGAGTTTTAGGGATGTTTAAAGACCAACTGGGATTAAGGTAAGGGATTTGATATGACTAAGTCTTAGAGCACTTCATACATACCAGGTATATTCAGTGAATATACCAGTGAAGATTCCACCCACAAGCCCAAGGGAGATTTGAGCTGAAGGATGGGGTGGCCCTTAAGTGGACTTCAGCAATTATTACCAAAGTTGCTGTCTCCACGTTCTGGGAGCACCTAAATTCTTCAGACATGTTAGCTGTGCATAATTGCACATATAAAATACTGACCTCAAAGGTTAGAATTTTTCTCCAAGGTAATTGTTTTCTTCCATTCTCTGATTCTAAAAATGGGAACCCAGATCCTTTGTCTTTAAACTCTATCTTACTTCTTTGAGAGCTTCTACTGCTTTTCTTTCCTTGGGGTCTTCCCCTTGGTCTTCCTGTTCGCTTGTATTTCCTCTTTTTAGGTTTCTTTTTTTTGAATCTTTCAAAAATAGCTTTCATAGTCAATGGTATTGGCTCGAAAGATGAGTCACTAGATGAGTCTCTTGCTTGCACACCTTCAGGTGAATGAATGTGTTTTCTAATAGGGGTTCTTTGCCTCCGTTTAGGTGAGTAAGGTACACACTGGGTTTTAAACAAGCTGCCACCAGAGGAAGAGTCATCACTAGGGGGAAAAAAAAGGGAAGAAAACTGATACTCTTGTATTACTAATGATTATGTGACCTACTTTTCTTCTACAAACCAAGCAGCAAAACATGCTCAGGGTAATTTTTAAAAAGATGGACTCTCCTAGCAAACCACTTAGTTCAGACTACTCTACGAAAATGGCCCATGCCAAAGCACTTACCAAAAATCAATCTTAGATTTTTGAGGAAAGAGAAATTTTAGTTTCACAAAGGTAGTCTTGTTCACAGCTACAGCTGCCTCCAAATACAATGGGTAGCCTCACTGACAGATATCTGATGTGAATATACTAGAAATACTTACTTGATCAAGATCAACAGATAAGGTCAACTACACATCTCCATCCCCTAAAAAGCCAGCATCCTGGATAATGTAGAATATCTGACAAACTGGTTTTTAAGCAACATTCCCCACTGATGTCCACTTTGTTATGGAAGAGATACTGAGCTGGCCCAGAGATTACACTGTTTCCCAGGGTTAAGAATGTGTCCCACTATTAATTATATCAAATAAACTTTGACGGTCTATGTAAACAGGTTTTCTTTCCTAATTCTCAGAAACTACCTTTACCATCACTTATTGTTTACAACTTATGTTTTCTCAGTAATTCAAATACACTAAACCAGCATCAAATCCAGACTGTTTTCTGGTAAAATTAATGTGGTTGTTGTTGGCATTAAAAAATGCACTAACCTCTGAACTTCCATTCCCAGAGCTAAATCAGGTACTGCTGTACAGCTGGGAGCGTCCATCCCTGTTAGGTACTCTCCAAGCCCTTCTCAAAACTGTTTTACTCCTCCTTAACAGATTTGACAAAAAAGTTGGTTAAATGTGAGGTAGTTTCTTGAAAGAAAAAAAATGCCAATTTTAACAGCTAATGCCCAAGTAATGCAAAATTTGATGTAGTCAGATTGTCCCATCATTGTATATTAAAGCAAATTTATATATACACAAAGGCTCTAATTTCCCTGTAGAAACTATCATTTCAAATCAAATCCTAGAATGTAGAAACGTTATTCATCGATTCTGTTTTGTCCCCTCACTCTAATTCAATGTAATAAGATACCAGAAGTGTACCACCATTTCAAATATCAAACATCTTTCCCTAACAAAAGTATTTTATAATCCATATAGTAATGTAAAATTAATGGCCAAAAAGACATTTTTTAAGAGCAGACGGTAACTCCTAGGAAAAACTTCTACACAACAAAGCCAGACGGCAGTGTGTGGTATTCATATGCCAGGAAAAATAATCCCAATTTTAAAAATCCATATGCTCCTGGTCTGGGACTTTCACTTACGGTCTTTTCCCGTTCATAGGATGATTACAATCACTGTGAAACCTCTTTCTTCGAATATTCTCTCTTTGCCATTATGGATATTAACCGAAAAAGTTCTGAATTCTCGATCTTTAAATGAAAGGTTAGCAAACTATACAATAATGCCCTTTGCCTTAAAAAAAACTCCTTTGGAAGATTTTACAATATCGGCAAGTAACAAAATAATGATTTAATTTACTACATT